TTTTCTCCCAGGACGCGGCATGAAAAGCGGCGACAACTTTGAGCTCCTCTACAAACTGGCCGACAAGATGAACGCCGCCGTCGGGGCGTCCAGAGCGGCGGTGGACGCTGGCTTCGTGCCCAACGACATGCAGGTCGGACAGACTGGAAAGATAGTGGCTCCGGTAAGGTTCTCAAAGTTGGTGACGAAGTAAATTCCATCGCGTGTTTCTTCAAAAGTCTGACTATGACAGTGCTTCTGCCACAGACATTTTGAATAGCTTGTAATGTTGAACATCAGAAGCCGTTTAAGTCATCAAAAGTCTTTTCCGATTAAATAGCCCCAAGTGCTGAAGTGCCCCAAGTTTTGTTGAGAATGTCCCTGAATCTTCAAGTTTCGGTCAACACATAGGAATCAAGTGGAACATTTTATTGTGTTGGAACTTTCTTGGGGTATCGAACTTCACCAAACTTAAAACAGTTTGCGCTCTGCCCCTGTCAATCTTGCAAACTCCACTCAATTTAGTGAGGAAATTCTGGAGACAGGAAGAAATAACTTGAAAGTTTTTTTACATCCTTCGGTGCACGCCATGTGGAAGGTATTGATGTATCCCAAGGTTGGTGGCTTATCCAGGGTAGTGGTTTGTCCAGGGTAGCAGCATATCCAGGGCAGTGGCAAATCCCCAGGAGTAGCATATCCAGGGTAGCAGAATGTCCAGCGGTCTGGTCAAAAATGACAACCAGAGTGCCAGAAGTGTTCAAAAAAAAGAATTGTTCTATCTTTTCTTCAGCAACTGTACGTAGCTGTGGGCATCTCTGGCGCTATCCAGCATCTGGCCGGTATGAAAGACAGCAAAGTCATCGTTGCCATCAACAAGGATCCCGAGGCACCCATCTTCCAAGTGGCCGACTATGGACTGGTAGCAGATCTCTTTAAGGTAAATATGGGGGGTTCTGTAAATTTTTTTCCCTTCATTGAATATGCACAGCACTTTAAATTTAAATTACCCAAATTGTACATTTGATTTCACATAATGCCCTCATGTTGAAAAAAAAAATTAAGTTTGGCCACATCAAAATCTATACTTTTATTATTGAGAGAATCACACTGCTATGCTTTTAAATTAAACAAGCTTTCTGGAAATCTTAACATCATATTTCATGGATACTTTGCGGCCCGAGTTCCAGATTTTGGGGCGTTTTCCCAATCCTCAAAATTGCTGTTTTTATTCTCACTAAGACTTGAATCTCCCTACTCCGGAGTCACTAGTGGTGACAAGAGTTGAGACACAACGATGATGTCACAGCTAGAAATTTGTTTACTGTCTGTGTAAATGACAACTGTTGCAGGCAGCTTTTCTAAGTCAATTTCTGTTCATTTTTCTTTCAGGCTGTCCCCGAAATGACAGAAATTCTTGAGAAAAAGTGAGCATTTGTCGAGGACGGCGTCAAAGTCGAAGGAACTGGTCTTCAATTCAGGGATGTTTTTAATTCCCCGCAAAATATACGTCACCCTGTCAATCTCCTTCAAAGTATCAGTCATAGTTTTTCTGAATCGTACCGGAATGGAACAGGATTTCACAGCTGGTGTTTATCTTTCAACAGAGAATGCATGCTTGGAGAGAGGGCAATTGTCAATTAATTCCGTTTGAAAAATCAAAATAAACTGATTTAGTTTGGTAAAGGAATGGAGACCATGCATATGAAAAGAATTTAATTTGTTTACGGTTGAAGCTTAAGTTATTGTGCAGGGGCCAGTTAAAAATTCCAAAGCGTGAAGGGATACGAGACAAAAATGTCTAGTTAACGTCTCGAAATGATTAGGTGTGATGGCATTTTAAAGTTTCGAAGTTGGAACAGTTTGGACAATAGGAATGGATTAAAATCAGCAAAATGCTGAGATGTCAGCTTTCCACCTGCCAAAGGGTCACATGCTCCATCACATGCAAATATCATACTCTTCTGCGTTGAAAGTATTTGTAATACGCATGAGTAGTATGACTGTACTTTGACCGTCCGCCTTGAGCAGAAGCACCCCCTCATCAGTTGAAAAGAGTCATGTTGGTGGGGAGTGTTCACTTTGCTGTACTGTGACGAAAGTAATGCATGCGTTTTGTAGTTGTTTGTGAACCAGCAAAGTGCAGTTCCTACCAAAGGAGCCCCCATTTCTTGGAAAATAGCACCCTCTCTTGGTCAGGTCGGGGCTCATTACCGCTTGGAAGTAGGACTAGTTACCTGCACAGACTCTTTTGATTTGCTTGATGAGCAGGTCCACCTTTGAAAAAATACGACTACCGAGAAAGTATCCAATATTCAAGCTTCATTTCACCATCTGCAATAAAGAAACGAGTGGCCAGTTTGAAAGAACTTCCCACTTTATTGTCCTTACATGACTCCAACAGAGATGTTCATAAATATAAGAAAATCAGCAACGATCTATGTTAAAAATTCACCGGAGCCCGTTTAACAAATTGCGGTTTTGTCCTGATAAACTGCGCATGCCGTAAGCTTGCTGGAGCAAATGACAGCACTTTCGCTGCACCCCACGTAAACAAACTTGCCTCAGTTCTGCGATGTTTCTCGTTGAGGCCTGGAGATTGTTAGCAGATGCAAAGCTTTCATTCATCAAAAAATCGGAGAGAAATGCCGAGTTCTTTCAAGCGTTAGCTGGTCCTTGCGTGCCAATCATCATGACAGTCCTGCATCCAGCGACTGGATTCAGAATGCTTAAGTCTCTTGTATCCCTGCTTGTGACGAGACTTTTCATTCAAAGTTTTAAAAATTCTTTCCTATCTGTTCTGCGAAAGTATGTGATTTGACCGTATCTGAGCATACATAGGAGAAAATCAACAATGAATATTGAACAATCATTCGTTAGTTTGACATTGACAAATGGATGAAAAAAGGAATAGTTGAATAAAGATTTTAAAAGAAACGTTTAATATTTGAAGACTATAGTTTGTTGTGTTTTATCTATCAAACACTAACCAACCCAAAACAGGCTCTCTGCGTACTTCATTATTTAAATAGGTCAATATTTTCAGAAATCATTCACTTTTACAGTAAACAGCCTTATTTCATGCAGAAAAAGCAATTCAAAGAAAGCTCTTTCAGTTCTGGCATTTGGAAGTGCAGGTTATATTTCTAAATATGATTACATGCTTAGTTCAAACTGACTCAATCTTAAACCTGTGTAATATTTCTGTACTCGGAGCAAAAACCCAACTCTATGAATAGATGTGGATGAATTGACAAATTCTCACTCGAAAAACTAGCATTTTGGAAAAAGTTTGAGAGCAAAATAAAGATTGATATGTAAAGCTGTAGTGTGGGCCACAGGGCTGAATGTTCTGAGGAGCGAGATTGGGGAAGAGAGAACCTCAAAACACAGCAGTAGCAATGAAAGAAAACAACTGATTTTAGGGCCTCAAATAGCTAAAAACGCTTGAGTCTTTTTGCAAATGGATATGAAAATTTGGTAAAAATGGTAAAAGTGGACAAATCTGAATGATTAAGCCACTAAACGTTCTGAACATGGGGGCGGGGGGATTCCAAACCAGTAAAATCTTGAGAAAATCTCCCCCTGATTTAAAGGGCAACGAACTTAGAAATATGCATCCATGGTGTCCTGAATTTAAACTGTTTTTTCCTGAAATCAACGCGTTGTCTTCCCAGATCCAACCATATACAATCACACAGGGATTGCATCTGGGCTGCCATCTTGTAGGCCAGTGCTTTTGTTCCACAGCGTATGCACAAAGGAGGCTTCCCTGTAGAACAGAAGAACTGCCCTTCAAGATGGCTACCACGCAAAGCCTCTACAGCACAAACAATTTCATTGGTTTCACATTGGCATCAGAAAGCAATAGGAAAAAGAATTTGCATAAAGACCGTACAAAAACCAAACAGAAATTTGCCAATATTTCCTTCAGGATTTAAAGGATAAAGTTTCCCTACATGTCTGCAGTTGGTTACACCCTTATCGTTTTCCACGAAGCAAATCTGTCTTACTACATTCAAAGCCCATATTTCATTCCCCCCCCCAAAGAACTTAGCTCCTCCCAGACATATGGGTAATAACAAACATGATACTACATTAAACCCTACTATTGTTTACAAACATATCTTACTACGGGCATTTCTTCTACAGTGTCATTTTTTTCTTGCGGCAGCCTTCGCTTGCTCTTTCGCTGTAGAATTGGAGAAAAAAACAACAACGCAAAATAAAGCAATTTTCAGATAAAAACTGACCCAATTTGTCAGAGGCATTGGTACAGGAGGAGAAAGGCTAATGTATTTTTTTGCTTTTGCATAATCATTGCCAACATTACCAGAAATAATTATAAAGGTTACAGTTGAAGTAGAGAAAACTGGTTCGCTGCTGATCTCGACTGACCTTTCTTCTCTTCTTCCCTCTTTTTGGCCGCCTCTTCTCGTTGTTTGCGGATGATGGCTAGCCTCGCCAGGTCGGCCTGGGCTGCCGGCGTCTTGCCTTCTCTGTAGAGCTTCTGGTGTCTCTGTTTGGCCTCTTCCCGTTCGATCTCTTCTCTGTAAAATTCCGAAGAGAAAATTGTGACAAGAACGGCCAGTTCTTTGTCTCTAGTAAGGATGTGATTTCCGTTTAATTTGAAAATGTTCAAAAAACTTTCCCAAACTGTTTAAAGCATGAAAACGTCCTACCCTTACCGCGGTGTCATTGAAAACTTTTAACATGACAAAATGTATACAATCTAAATAGTTGACACATAGTTCCGGTGATGAATTCATTCAGGGTTCCTGCATGTAAAGGACTATTAAATTCCATGACTTTTCCATGATCAAATTATGAAAATCCATGACCCAATAATGCAATTTCTCGGGACTATTCACACTTTTAAAGTTGCAAATAAAATCATGCTTTTGATGCACTTATTTCTGCTGACAGAAATCACACACAGTGCTTGTAAAATTCCATGAGTGAATTCATTTTTACAAAATTCCACGACTTTTCACGGCCTGGAAAACGAAAACAAATTTTCCATGACATTTTTGTGACTTTTCCAGGCTGTGGGAACCCTGATTCATGGTATTCCTTTGATATGACCAAGCAGTGAAGTGTTCTGAAAATCAGATTACATTTTACAGGTATTGTTTACAATAAAAAGGAACGCCAGATTGCGTCAATTAAAACACCAAACCGCTAAAAGGGGTGGTTCAGTCTAAACATTTGGGAAAATATGTGAACATATTTGGAACTTTTTTTTTTTTAAATGTGTTTTAAACATTGCAATGTTAGTCTCTAGGACTCCAAGAGTCCCAATCTCAGGCCGTGTCCAAACGGGAGGCTTTCAGAAATGATCTTCCTTAATTAAGCACCTCCTGGAGTACCATGACTGCTCTTGGAGAGTTGTTGGAATCCCTGCTCTCTGTTTTTGCACCCACAGAGTCACGGCTAAGGTCATAACGTGGGCTTTCAGGACTAGGACAGCACTGCCGCCACACCACTTGAGCTCTCTGCTCCAAGCGGAACAAAAGAGGGCGTGCTTTTTTGGTACTCACCACATAGGTGCGCCAGGAAGCGCGCAAGTATATGCGCGTTTCACGCGGAGCACGCTGAGTACGCGTAACTAATTTGTTCCAGCTGGTACGGTCTTTGCGTACTCGCACAACGCACGCAAGACCAAGCTTGTAACTACCTGTCTTTCGCCGATTGGGGGCGCACTTCAGCTGAACCACGGTCAAATGCGAGGACTTTATGAACAAAGAGGAGTAACTTCAATGTGACGAAAAGCATGAGGCGATAAAGATGGCTGCACCCGTGGGCACAAGATAACACATCACTAGAGGGCGCTATAACATGACTGGCGCTGTGTCTATTGTCAGCTTGATCATTGCATATTTCCAATGGGCAAAGGCCTGGCTCTGGGCTATAGATTCAGATGCAGGCTTGGCCATAGGTGATTCATCTACCTTCCTCAATTCAGCAAACTGCCCCCCCACGAAAAACCTTCTGACAGACAATGAACGACATTGGAGGAGAAATATTGGAATCACTGTTCACCTACACTCTGTGGATAACACCCAATTTCACCCCACGTGAGCCAAACTCAAAGCTTGGAGAATTTTGTTAAGTCGGAGATTCCGAAGTCTCACCTTTCTCGTCTCGATAAGGCAGCTGTTCCCGACTCGTTGACATTAACCTGCGAGGCTTTCTTCATCTTGTTCACCACCCGATTTGGATTTTCAATATCTATGAGGTGACTGACACCCTTGTGTGCCTGATCCTGGAAAACAAAGCGAAATCAACTTCAATGTCTCAGAAATCAATGAGTGGGTGTTTTATTTTCATCAGCACTGAAAAACAATAGATTGATTGGGTTCGAGTTGAGTAACCAGTCCATTACTCAATTCTAAAGAAAAGCCTTCTTTGGAAAACTTTCCAGGTTTTTTTTTGCAGAGGAATTTTATGTTTCTTTAATCTGTGTGATTGATCAATCAAACATGCAATCAGGTGATCTTGTGGCACAATCTGAAATAATTCAACCATCAGTCACCTGTCTTTTCCTTCTAATTCCTAATTATGGACTCATGATCAAGCTATTATTTTGAAATGAGTAAGTTAAAGTCTTAACCCCTTCGTGCCGGGATTCTTTTGACTGTGACTGCTGGGCTGTGGTATGCCCTGAATGGAGGGCTTTGTCCATCAGCAGGCCCCATTGAACCAGCAGCTGCATGGTGGTATGCACTAATCCTCACACAAAGCCGCGGCTCCAGCCGTCTCCCAGAGCGAAGGGGTCAAGGAGACACCGTGCAGGTGCGTGACTGGCCAGTCCTTCAGATGGACCAATCACATGAAACGTATCCTCAACTCACCTCATCTGAGTCCGAGTCCGAGTCGGTGTCCGATATCGTCCGGAACGGTTTCGTAACCGGCTCCTCGTCCCCACTTCCTTCCTTCGTGGGCTCCTGCGTGACAAGACCACAGACATCCACAACAAATGCTCAAACTGACTGGCTTTAAATTCGACCCTGGCAAGTTTATGTGGATATTTAAATACCAGGGCAAGTTCGATCATGGACCATAGTTAATAATAGTCCGACTAACTCCGACTGAACGCACGCCACTCAACGATAGTTGGACTAGTCCAGTCAACTATTGCAACCAGCCTGTCAAGGTTGGTCGCATTGTTGGTTGCCATAAACCATTTTTAATAGCGCAGTGCAGAGAGGACCAGTGTCTTAGCGACCACAGTTTTCACTTTTAGTTTTGCTATCTGCCATTCCTGCGGCCATCTTTTCTCCCCTACGGCCTGAAGACCTGACAACGGTTGACTAGGGTCGTTGGCGCTTCGACGCCGCCGCACATGCGCTAGGTACATCATGAATCAACCACTAGTTAACTACTGGTCGATGATCGAACTGGCCCCATCGTACGTTTATGAACACTGAAATGGCATATAGTGTGACCACCTCCTCAACGAAGGCACAAGTACTCCACATAGAGACATTTCTAACAAATAAAATGACATAAGGATAAAGAATATATTTCACATAGAGCAAGATTGTTATATTTACAATGGTATGTAGTCCTTTCGTTTTAAGGCGTGCGATCACACTCCCACACCATGTCACGCCTAAAAGCTTCCTGGGAAGTGCGAATAATTGCATGCCTGGAAATATCCAGGAGTGTTTTTTCCACACGCCTGCAATTTCCAAATCACAAGGACTGGGTACATAGTCTGTCAACAGACAGCAGAGTTCCCCTGCCCAAATGGTCTAATGATTCGGAGATACTTTGCTCTGGAAGTTATTGGCTAGCGGCTGTGGCTACTTTATCTTCCCATAGAAGCATCAGCTACCTAGCCATAACCACTTGATTCAGATGAAGCCTTCAGATTTCCCTTGTCCATGGAACCACGGAGGAAGGCCAAGATACGAGTCTGATTGACTGAAATTCAAGATTTAGGGTTCGTTGCCGCTGGGGTAAATACCGCATTGGTCCAGGCTAGGCAAACACCCAGAGACCCTACGTAGCACCTACAAAGAGACTCACACCTACCCTCCATTGATGTTCTCTCAACTGGGCATCAATTTCCTCCGGGTTGTTGAATCGCCGGCTCTTCCCCTTGTGACCGCCCTTACGTCCTGCAGATGTGACCAATCAATTATATATGCAAATTAGATGCCCAAGAGGTGTTTGTTGAACAAGTACAGTTCAACATCAGCAGGTGATAATATCTCCACACATAAATTTAATCATTTGAATTGCATAATTAGCATTCTGTATAATATTCAAGATAATAAACCATTTAATTTGGTATGAAAAATTTAAAAATATGAAAAATATACAAAAATGCCAGAAATTTAAAATCTGTATAAAGCAAAAAGGACAGTTTTCGTAATTCAATGCCAGCTTTTCCTTACTTCTCAACTTTGATCCAACTTAAGCAAGTCCAACCAAACTGTAATGAGATAAAAAATTTAGACCTTGTGCAATTTTAGACTTTCTACCCTTAACAGAATTCCTCCAAGGCCAAATATCACCCCCCCGTCCCCTCCAAAAGAGAAACGAAATGTGATCATGCAATTTATTGTAAAATTGTAGGCATTGTTGTTAACATCAAAAATATAAGTCACGGAAAGAGTTCCATATAGCCTACAGACAATACTTGATGCCCTTGTGCACAAACCTACTAAAGTACTAAGACTCCGAGACTTGTCTGAAAAAAAGTGTTTTCCAAATGCTTCAGAATTTTCTCAGCTAAGTTTCACTTTTTAGGACATGTTTTTACTTTCTGACGGCTGTTACAACATTTTAAAGGAAAATTAGCATGATAAGTGTTGTCCGTATATGGTACTTTTACCAAACTGGTGATCGGCTGATATGTAGAAATCGACAGATGGTGCCGCGAACAATTAATGACCTGTGATAAACATTGCAAAAATTGTCGACAACAATTGAACAGAACAGGCCCATCAAACATGTCAAATAACACTTACCTCCCCTAGGCATTGTAGGAACCTTCTTAATTTTACAAAACCTTCCTTCTTTCGCTAAATTGTGTACTGTAGTTTCGTTAAAACGAATTAGGCGTAATACTCGTCAAAACAGGAGAGTTGTCCGATTTCACAATCGTCATTCAAGTCACGCAATGCTAACCAAGTACATACGGCATGGAGACAACCGATTGTTAGTACGCCCCGATTGTGCTCTCGACCCAACTGCAGTTGGACAGATTTCTAATTGGGTATTACCGTTTTTGAAATGATGGCACTTTCGCCCGGAATATTTGAAAGGAAAGTGAAAGGGAACATGTGGAACATCATTTTTCTGTGTAGCCTGAACACCTGTGAGAGTTGTGAACATTTTTAAAATATTTGTGAAGTGTGGGGATCTATCATTGCTGTCTATGGAATTTATTTGTAGTGGTACTGTGCATCCTGTTCCATTGGCAGTTTCGATCGTCCAAATCTGGGATAGGCCAGCTGCAGTTGGGAAAGTGGTGCAGTTAGGACACAAAACTGGCGCTCTGGCCGATTGCTCATTAATAGCTGGGGAATTTCAAAGGAGGGCGCCGTGCCCTGCTCAGTGCTGCAAATAATAAAGCACGCGCGCATGTGGTGGGCGATCGATCGGGCTGGTTCCTTCCACCTTCACTTGTTTCAGACATATTTAACTCAAAATAATCTCTTTTCAAGATGAGTAGGGCTCGGTACGAAGTTGACTACGAGGATGACGATGTGAGTACTGTTCAGGAAATATTACTGTTCTTAATTAAACTAAAATAGAGACTTTAAGGTGTGCATTATTTTTGCAGTGATGATGGTTTCAGTTTCACCGGCGCGGCATGACCGGTCGATAGCCCGGGTCTGCAGGTTGGACGCTGTTGTCTTACATCCCAATACCACGATTAAACCACGACTGACGTTCGGGATATATGCGAAGTTTTTCCCAACATTTTTTTCTCACATTTTTACCTGGCGAAGACAGCTCAAAATGTCGTTCACAAGTGCCTTGTATCCCGAATTCCATGAATGCTGTGTTGTAATTAGGCCTACTAAATTATAAATATGCCCACGGACAACATATTTTGTTTTGCAGGCAATTTTGCGAAATTCCACACTTTCTTTTGCAATTCGTTAACAATCTACGTGTAGATACACGTTGATCTAGCACGCGTACTCGCACATGATGTATGAAATGCATAGTAACCAAGTGCCCCTGACGCATGCGCGGAGGAGCAATGGGCGTGAAGAATTCGTAGATAAGGCCGTATCCGAACAGACTTCCAAAGATACGGCTAGGTCTATTGTCTGCACATGTCCACGTATTTCTAATGGAGTGAAGACCTAGACCTAAGCCTTAGACAAAATGCATAACTGACAGAATGTGGGTGTGGCTGAGCTTGGAGGCCATTTCGCGCATGCGCAAATGCATAGTACTGCACAAACGGGCAGGTTGTTCGCAAATCGTGACAGAAAGGGTGGTGTTCGCAGAGTTTTCTGCAAAATACGTTGTCCGTGGGCGTATTTAGTGATTTCATCACAGCATTTATGGAATTCGGGATACAAGGCACTTGTGAACGACATTTGAGCTGTCTTCATCAGGTAAAAATGTGAGAAAAAAAGGTTGAAAAAAATTTCGCATTGTAGGAGGATTTTTATACCCTGGACGTTAGTCGCAATGCAATGTAGACAATTCGTCCAATCTGAGCTACGCCGGTCAAGTGATTGACCAGTGTAGGTATTGCCAGTGCTTATGCCAGTCGGGCCCGACATAGGCTAGCTTCAAAGGTACTACACGCACAGCCTACGAGTGCCTATACGAGGAAAAACATTGGCTACCATGACTAAATGTTACCATATTACAATAGGCCATTTGCGAGTTAAATTTGAATAAAATCTGGTGCACTGAGTTATCTGACTTCACATAAACATAATGATTTGAATTCCTCAGACTAAAGACACTGTTGCTATACCTCTTGATTCAGGGCAAGCTTTCGCATAGCGACCACCATCTCTGGAATGGACTGGTTCCTTTGTGCCCTTCTTATCCATGGAAAACAGTGTATTGGTGCAAGGCATCTCTTATGTCACTAAGCAAAAGCTTGCCCCGAATCACGAGGCATAGCAACAGTGGTTTTAGTAAGGAGAAGGAGATTCTACAAAGATATGAATTTTCAGCTTTTCGGGTAAAACCCAGACTCAGTTTTGTGTAGAAAATAATCCCATTTTGCTCTGCATGACACATGTATAAAAGCATTTCAAAGCATCCCCACTTCAAATAAATTTTTCTTTGCTTTACAGAGTGCGATGGAATCCAAACTTACATCAAAACATTTCTCATGACATCCTCTCCAAGATCATCTCAAAAATAAAACAGCAAAGATATTTGCAAAAATTTATCAGCCACCCTAACCACTGCAATGTTGGGCACAGAATTCCACAGTTTATAACAATTCACCTCGGATTTCCTATCCAGTCATGCCAGTCAGTCTGGCCATGTACTGAGTCATTTTGATAAAAAGCTAATTCCACGTGCTCTTTAGCAAGTCAGTTTATAAAATAACTCCATTTCCTCTTTCTTTTCATTCATTTAGTATGATTATTTCCCAGATGAAAGTTACGGCATGCACACAGGTGAGTGCAGAGACCGAACTTTGTTCAACTTGATCCATATTTACAACGGTGTCGCTGAGTACATGTACCATGCGTAATGTATTCCAGGGGCTGTTGGAAAAATTCACTGCCATCACACCAGACAAGGGAGGTAGAAATGTTTCCCAACTCATCATGCGTGACAGGACAAGGACATCAGCTCAAAACAACTGAAAAATGTTTCAGCTTGAGCAGTCTTTCTGAAAAGTTCTTTTAAATCAAATGTACCTGTCCAACTCCTTGTAGTCCTTGGACATTTTTCAAATTTGGAATCTGCCTGGAGCCTCTGAAAACCCTCCACTGTGCAGGAAACCAATGACATATTCTTTGTACACTTACCTTCAGAGGATACCACGCCCCATGTATAATACATGGAATAGGGGGTTGGGCTTTGCTATTCCTCCAAAACCTGGCAGATGCAGGATAATCACTTGGAGTGTGGTTTAAATAGCCAGAAATGATCCAAAGCTGTACACTATGCTAAGAATTCAGAATTCCTGAGAGAATTGTTTTATATCTGTTATTTGGTACACATACAAGACGGTTTTCTTTGATAGCTGAGTTTTGTTCACGGAGCGGAATTCTATTTACAAACTTCCCGTTTTCCCCAGAAGCACAACAAACCTGGCACTAATCAAGGACTGATTCTCTTTTACATTGCCGCCCAGGCGATCCACAGCGCGACCTGGCCTACGAGAGGCAGCTCCCCAATCATGCCAGCTCCTACATCCTCCCGGACGAGATCAAGAGCTTCTTGATGTTCTTCCAGCGCAGCGTCAAGGAGAACCAACTCTACGACATCAGCCTCTGCTACGAGAGGGAGTGAGTCCAACTTAGTTGATATGAATTAATTTGGGATTTTCGCCCTGCCTGATGTGTATTATAACATTGGTTACTCAGTGTTTGACCCCGAGGGCTTGTGAAAAAAACCACAAGCGTACTCAGGTGGGAATCGAACCCACGACCTCCTGTTTATTAGTGCATACGTCTCAACCACTCGACCGGTGTCGGCTGGCTGGTCTGAGTCAGATGCAGCCACAGGTACTGCGAACAACTGTCAATCCTAACAACTATCCAATTAATTGATTTGCAGCCCACCTTAAAGGGCCGAGCACCAGCGTTGTCAGGTCCATTACCAATCACTTCAAATCCATCAATTTATCCAATCTTTTAGTCACAGGCTGTTCAAATAAGGATTCATTGTTGATCCTGTTACATGTGACTGATCTTATGAAAGAACTTACGAAAAGATCTGTGCGTCTCAGGCAGGGTTTTGATTGGCACACTGAGGGCCGTATAGTTGCCCATGCGGAAACCGTAGTCTTAATGTGGTGCAAATTTAGTAAGTGGTTTAGAACAAATGTCCAAGGCGTTAGCGTAATAGATTGTGGCCCTACATAAATATTATTTTGTGAGCGCTTAACATTTAGTCCTTTCCCATAAAATTACAAAGCTATTTAGCTGGGGATTGAAGTGACATTTGTTCAAGATGTGTTTTTTGGGTTTTTTTTTTACCTACCAGACATGCTGTGAGGAAGCTGAGGAAAGTTACTGTTTGTTTGTTTTTTGTTTGTACACCCCTTTCTTCACAGTTTCAACAAGTTGACTGAGCGATACTTCAAGAATTCTTCCTGGCCAGATGCTGAGAGCATCCAAGCAGCTGTTGGACCTGGTACAAAAATTTAACCACACCTTTCCAAAACCAAATCAGCAGCCGATTTCACGAAACTTCACGCTATGGCGTTACTCCACTTATGCCACATTTTATCGCTTAAAGTTGTGCAATAAATGAAGAGCAATTTCATGAAAGTTACGCGCTGCGTAAGTCTGTGACTTATGCAATGAATTATTGCTTAACTTAACACAGTCATTTTAGGTGGCATAAATTGCTCCAAACGACGCGAAATTAATGATTTGATGAGCTTATCGTGTTCAGTTAAGTCTCATCTTTGCTGAACTTAACAAGGTTTATAAGAGAAACGAACAACTTAGTTGTTGAAGGTAATGAAAAACTTGTTTGGCTGTGAGAGAACTACGAGATTTTCTGCCTGATTCCGATGAAGAAAAGACGAAGACTTTTCCAAAATGGCAGTTGGAGGTGATTCAACAACTATTTGATGACTGTTGTTAAATTGGAAAGGAACAGCGGTTGTAAGGGCCGTTTCTGTCCTCGTCCAAGAAATTTGATATTATTAAAATGTTGTGCATCTACGCAACTTTTCGTGAAATCGAACGTAAGTATATTGCGCAGCTACGGCATAAATTTGTAGCACAAGGCTTATGCATGGTTCAAAGTTATGCCACATCGGCTACTGGCCTCTAGAGAGACTGTACCAGTTTTACAACCCCAAATTTGGAGAAAGACTAACCTATGCCATTTTTTGTTTTGAGTTCATTTATCGTCTCTGCAACTGTATTAAGTCCGAAAGCCTTCAAATAGTGTTTTGTATCATGAAACATCTCCATTCTTTTACTTAGTTATCTATGAATCCAACTTTCCTCCCAGACCCATTGAAATCCTCTTAGATCCTTGGAAATCCCTCAGAAAGTTTAGGATTTTGTAAGGTTTTGGTAGACTTTTGAGGATTCAGGAAGGTTCTTATCCCTCACTGTTGTTCTTAATCTCTGTTTGTTTTTCCATTAACGTATTTAGATCTGGTGTTTAACATACTGTATAAGGAGTTATACTATCGTCACATCTACGCCAGGGTCCAGGTGAGTTGAGCTGAAGTTTAGTTAAGCATGGCCTTGTTCACAATTCTCAGTAAAATAGAAATGCTTTTCGGAGCTTTTCTGCACCTGCTCAGAAGACTCACCTTCTGTGCTTGTACAGAACACTTCAATTTTTGCTACATTTGGGCTCCATTTTGCATAAAAACCCACAGGATCTGTTGTTGTAGAATTAATGGCATGTACGGCATACGCTAGTGCCCTTTATGCCATTAGCAAAAAGGTCGCTTAGCCATGTGGTAGTTGGGCTAGAAATTCAAATAGCTCAAGACACTTGATCAGACAGTAAAGAGTAGATATTATCCACAGGGTCTTAAGGTTTAAGTTGAATTTTTAAGCAAATTTCAGTGGACAGTTTTCTCACCTTTTTTTTTCTGATTGATAGTCGGGTCCCTCCCAGGAGCAGCGTTTTGAGTCATACTACAACTATTGCAACCTTTTCAACTTTATTCTGAGTGAGTACAGCTTCCATGCAAATCACGCCTTTTAGTGACTGAAAAAATCTCTGTCAAATATCTTGCTCAAGGACATTAGTACCACAGTTCCGATGCCATTGGTGTTACAGTATGTTAGGAATGTTGCTAACTTTTATTAGTGTTGTATTCGAGTCCATTACAAGTCCCTGCAAGTCCTTCCAAGTCCCTGCATTCCTTGCAAGTCCATCTGAAGTCATTCATTCTTGAGCCAATTCGCAAACTATTCAAATGAGCTGTGACAAAAGCATTCCTTTGTCATAGTTCACCCCGTTACTTATGACTTGCCTCGTGAAGGGACTCGTGAAAGGACTTGTGATGGGCTCGAATACGACATGGACTGTTGGCCCTCGATCGCTGGCCAATCACTGTCAAGTATCTTGCTCAGGAACGCATGTCCCACAGCCACCGGCGAACCACAGCGTCATAGTTCTGTTCCAAAATTGGCATACTCCTGCACCAGCTCCCTCCTCACTCTCATCTGTTTCCTTCACAAGTTGTCCAGTGTTGGGCTCAGCTGAAAACAGCTTAGATTTCAGAGCTGAAATTTGTTTTGTTCCTTTTTGAAGGCGCGGGAGTACTTTTTCCAGGATAAAACTTCCTCTTGATTTGTCGTTAATTAGCACAGAATGATCCATATTGGTACCTGTGCAACTTAAAGCTTGGAATGTGTCACATGCCTTTGTGTATTCAAATCTCTGACAAGTTGCCGAAGTCCTTGGTTACACTGCAGATGTGTGAAATCCAACAGCTGGTTTGTGTCATTATCACTGATTTTTTTTCTTCGTTTTTCCAGATGCTGAGGGACCTGTGAGATTGGAGCTGCCAGATCAGTGGCTGTGGGACATCATTGATGAGTTTATTTACCAGGTAAGCTCCTAAAAAAAGAACAGGCTGTTTTTTTTTTCCAATTGGAATCTCGCCTCAACCTTAACTTCTCATTTTCAGAAGATGGGGAGAAATGCAGAGCCGTGTCTTTGATGAGGTAGAGTTGTTGGCTATTGGGCCTCCCCAGGTCATCTAAGATGCCTTGGTTTTGTTACACAAATACATGTTTTTGTAAAAGCATTGAACTGTAGCAACTTGGTTGCCCTTTTTTTTCATCTCCAGGCAAACAAGAACAAGCCATTTCAAATGTCCACTTCCAAATGCCAACTGAACCCCTGGTGTTGAAAAACAGATAACGTTTGTTTATATCTCTGAGATTGCTGGTTACCTTTGCAGTTCCAGGAATTCAGCAAGTATCGCAGCAAACTGTCAGGAAAGACCGACGACGAAATTGCCATCCTCAGGGCGAACCCCAAGGTGAGTACCAAAAAGGGGCGAACAGTTCTAAATTTGTGGCAAAGTCCGATATGGAAGAGAGGAAATAGGTAAGAAGCTAGTCTACACTCTGTTAAACATGAAGAGGCAAGTAGTTTTTCTTTGGAACACTTTTCTGTTCGTTTTGGCTTCAAACTGTGTATACGGTCAAATCTTGTTAATAAGAGCACTGTTAATGAAAGATTCTGCTTCTAACAAGGAAATCTTGAGGTCCCGATCCTTTCTTTTTCCTTGTTTTCATTCCTGACAGTACAAAGTTCCTGTGACAACGAGGTAATTTGTCAAGTCTGAAGGACTTGTTATTAAAGAGGTTCGACCGTGGTAACTCAGCAATTAATGATATAATTAAAACACTGGTTGAAGGCCATGGTCAGTAAGGCACTTATCCGTTAATTCAGTGGTCTTGGGTTAGATTCCCACTGAGGACGATTGTGCTCTCCCGCCCCCTTAGATCTGGAATGTGCACAGCGTGCTGAATGTTCTCCACTCCCTCGTGGACAAGTCCAACATCAACAAGCAACTAGAGGTGTACGCTAACGCCGGTGAGTTCACAGCCCCGTCTGCAGCAGACATCATCGTCAACAGATCCTTGCTGTCTTTCTGTCTGGTGTATCGGAGGGCAGTATCCCAAGATGGGCCCCAAATTTTGCTCAGCAGATTCATGCATCCAGTAAACATCAGCCGGGAGCAAGTTCAAAGCTGTATTAGTTACATGGTGTTTTGGCTGGTAACCTGTTTCCGCTGAGCAGTTTATATTTGGTGCTTAGTGAATTTCATGCATGAGCAATACAGGTTATGTCTTAATGGCTTGGCTGTGGCTAGAATTTATGAACAGGTCTCTGGTAGTGGCTGCAGCCAGTCCTAATATAACTGTGAGTAACTGTAAGCCGCAGCCAAAAGATGTGGACGTGGTCCGACTTAGCCGATGACTGATCAGTTATTGGGGAGCATTGCTGCTGAGTTTTGGTAGAGCCCACTGAAAAACGGCCTATGAAACACTGGCTGCTTACACAAAGTGAACAGATTACATACACCGTGAGCAAAACATTCAAGGGTCATCAAATGAAATGTGCATACACGTTTTGTTTTGTGGTGTCATTTTGCAGGAGACCCAGACAGCGTTGCGGGTGACTTTGGCCGTCATCCCTTGTACAAGATGCTGGGGTACTTCAGTCTGATCGGCCTGCTGCGACTTCACTCCCTCCTGGGTGATTACTACCAGGCCATCAAAGTGCTGGAGAACATCGAGCTCAACAAACAGGTGAGGCTGACTCAGATTATATTGGAGTTAATCAATCCTCAATGAACATGTGTAACAGGTGAACAAATCCGCAGGATCTTGCAGACAATTCAGTGAGGACTGGAGCTTGTTGCATAAGTAGTGTCACGATTAAGACCTCTTAAAACGGCCAAGACCAACACAAGACTTCCAGTCAGAGTCCAAGTCTTTCAAATGGTCTTTAACAAAAGCATTTCTTTGTCACAGTTCACCCTGTTACTTGTGACTGGTCTTTGACTGGTCTTGTGACCGGTCTTGTAACCGGTCTTGTGACCAGTCTAGTAACCGGTCTTGTGACTGGTCTTGTGTCTTGTCATGTCAATGTTCTTTTGTCTGGTCTTATGTCTGGTCTTATGACTGGTCTTGTGACTGGTCGTGTGACTGGTCTTATGACTGGTCTTGTGACTGGTCTTATGACTGGTCTTGTGACTTGTCTTGTCTTGTCACTGTTCTTGTGTCTGGTCTTATGACTGGTCTTGTGCCTGATTTTGTGATGGTCTCGACTGCAAACTATTCTGACAATTTGCAACAGAATGAAGATTTTTAACTGGGGTTATTGGTTTGGTTCCTCATCTCCCAGACCCTGTACTCGAGGGTGACAGCCTGCCAGGTGACCACCTATTACTACGTGGGTTTTGCTTATCTTATGATGCGTCGATACCAGGACGCCATCCGCAGCTTCACCAACATCCTGCTGTACATCCAGCGCACCAGTCGCATGATGCCGCCGGGCTCCTACCAAGTGGACCTGGTAAGTGGAGAGAGTCAGCCATAAGACACTGCGTCCCAGTTGTTTGACTGCGGCTCCCGAAAATACGCCTGTCTTTGGGGAAATGACTTCAGCCGCTAGCTGTCGGCTTTCCAGTTGCCCATGCATTAACATCAGTCGCTGCCAAGTGATCCAATCAAGGCCTCACCCCAGGGTGGCTCAGAAATACAAATTATCCTCACGTCTACCCACCATTGTGACCAAGGGCAAGTGGCGCCAGTGAAGTCTTGTCACTTGTCCGTGAATCGATTCTCTTGAGTTGGCAACCCAGGGTCATCCCCTGCTTGCACACTGCATTAATGCATATGCATCAATCATGGCAGTTTATGACCCATAATGCTTTAGATTTTCTAAAGAATATTTTTAAAAAAAGACTAGCTGTCACGGCAGCCTGTTGTGTGAGTAGAGTAGTGTCCAGGTCTTATTTTATCTTGCCAACTCATTCCATACTGAGCAATGGAGGAGCTGTGGTTGTGAATTTTGGGAAATGATATTTACTCAAGTGACGGATTTCCCGTTGCAAACAAATGCTGCATAGATCAAGAAGATCAATGAGCAGATCTACACCCTCCTGGGCATTGCGCTGACCCTTCACCCCATGCGCATTGACGAAAGCGTCCACATGCAGCTCAAGGAGAAGATGGGTGACAAACTGACCAAAATGCAGAAAGGGTAAGTCCAGAACCCAAGCTTCTGACCAACCCATCCCACCCAACCACCCACTCACCCTTCTCCCGCCCTCCTCCCCATCCCTTCCATTACTACCCCTATCTTCTACCCCCTGCCCTCTGTCCTACCCTCAACCTCACCCCTCCTCCACCCTTTCGTCTACCAGACCCCTACCCTCTTCTTCACCTCCTTCTGCACCCCTCCATCTACCAGACCCCTACCCTCTCCTTCA